CATCCTTGGAAAACTATCTTCCATAAAACTGGTCCATGGTGCCAAAAAAGTTTGGGGGCTGCTGACTAAGGAACTCTCTCAACCTGTTTCCTCATCTGTACAACTGGACCCATTAAAAAACTTTACATGGATTGTGCCTTTGTCATCATATTATTCATCTGATATAGAGACTTCTGCTATCTCCACTTTACAGATGAGGAAGCTGTAAAACAAGGTTAAGTAACTTGCTCAAGGTCACATGGTAACTGAATACATAAGGTAATGTATCTTGGGCCGTCTCGGTGGTTCATGCCTGTAATCCCAGCACTCTGGGAGGCTGAGGAGGGGAAATTGCTTGAGCTCACAAGTTTGAGAACAGCCTGAGCAAGAGCAAGACCCTATCTCTAAAAAATAGCCAGGCGTTGTTGTGGGCACCTATAGTCCCATCTATTCGGGAGGCTGAGGCAAGAGGATCGCTTGAGCCCAGGGGTTTGAATTTGCTGTGAGCTATGACTTTACGGCACTCTACCCAGGGGGACAAAGTGAAACAATGTCTCAAGAAAAAAAAAAGATAATGTATAACTTTCACAGAGTTATTGGAAAGCCTTCATAAGACAGCAGCTGTGTGGACGTGAAGGGAAAGCGCTTTTCGCCCATGTTACCTAGAATCTCTGTAGATTCAGGACTTTTTTTTTTCTTTCTTCTTTTTTTGGGGGGGCCACCTCTAACTCTCCTTCCATTTCCTACGTGGTATTTCCTTCCCTCGGCTCTTGGGGTCGCTGCGCCGCACGAGCCCTGACAGGTCGCTCTATCCTGCGCGCCGGCTGCTCGCTGGTGCCTATAAGTACCGGCGCCGGGTTTCTCCAGGCATCAGTCTATTGCCGCCGGGGCTAGTTGTGGGGTCAGATCTGGACGTGCAGGATTTGCTGCTGGGCCAGGGCGGAGCGGCTGCTGTGCCGGAGCCATCAGGAGGGGCGTGTTGCTGTTGGCCCACCACGAGCCGCCCCCAGCCCGCTCCGAGGCGCCTTCCCGCCAGGCCGCCTTCCGCTTCCCTCCATTTCCCCGGAATCTAAGCCTGGCGCGCCTGGACCCCGGCCCTTCTCTGGGTGGGAAAGCTCTCGGCTGCCTTTCAGCTTCACTCCTTCCTCGCAGACTGGGCTCCCAGCCCCTTCTTTCCTTCTCCTGGTCTGGATCTCAACCCCTTCGGACCCCTTCCTTTAGCTTAGGTTCCCTACCCCTTCCGTCAGCCTAGCGTCCCGAGATCCTCAGTCACTTTCCTTAGCTAAAGGTGCTCTTCCTTTCCTTTGGCGGGGATCCAACCTCTCCTGTCTCTTCCTCTGTCTCCAGGGCTGAGTCTGCCTCTCTTCCCCTCTCCCAGGCCTGGAATTCCAGACCTTCTGTGGTGGTCTCTTTCTGTGGTCCTTTCTAGGTCCTTGTCCCTCTTCCCCAGTTTGGATTCCAGATTGGGAACCCAACCTCTCTCCACCCCCAGAGGACTACTTCCACGAAAATACCTCTTTCAAACATGAACTTTTCCTAGAGACAACTCCAGGCTGTCTTTCCACTTGCTGACCCCTTGCTACCCATGTGCCAGGTTTTGCTCTCACTTGGCTAAGGGTCAGGCTTGCTGGGCTGGGGAAGCAGCATGATGCATCTGTGGTCTGGCATCTGCGGCCTGTCTCCACCTCGGATCTTCCCTTCCTTGCTTGTGGTGGTAGCCTTGGTGGGGCTGCTACCTGTTCTCAGCAGCCATGGTCTCCAGCCGAGCCCTACTGCCAGCACCATCCGAGGCTCAGAACCACCACGGGAACGCTCTATTGGGGATGTCACCACTGCTCCACCGGAGATCACCCCAGAAAGCCGCCCTGTTAACCATTCTGTCACTGACCATGACATGAAGCCTCGAAAGGCCTTTCCAGTCCTGGGCATCGACTACACGCATGTGCGCACACCTTTTGAGATCTCCCTCTGGATCCTGCTGGCCTGCCTTATGAAGATAGGTAAGTCCAATTTTCTCTGATGCTACCATTGCCACCAGACTGGTGAGCTTCTCACCCCATCTCTTAGCATTTGAGACTGCCTAGGAATAAGGGTCTGAGCTACTCTTGTAACCTAGGCAGCCTCCATCTGTCATCTTGGTCCTTCTCAAACTCCAGCTCTGTGGTCTGAGGCCTTCCAAGATTAGAGCCAGCCTTGTGGAAAGGAGAGTGAAGGATTAGAGGATAGGATACTTCTGATCCTAAGTACCTTCTGCAAGGCTTCCAGGACTGGCAAGTCTCAGGCTGGGCCAGACCCTGATTGGAGTCAGGCAGCCAGCTGTGTATGAAACAGAGAGGAGTATCTTCTGGCAAGTGGCACATTCTGCTCTGTCAACAGCAACCAGTGTAATTTATTATAAGTTTCATGGGAGGGTGTTCCAGGATGGAGTATATTTCTAGTTGGCCTGTTTGAGAAGTTTTGAATATAGCAGGGATCTGGGCACAGGACATTTACAAGTGTGATGAAACACAAGGGATCCCCATATTCTCATCTTTCTTCCCCCACCCCCAAAATGTTATCTGTCACCTTTGCCTGCCCAGGCTAGTTAGGAGCCCCTGAGTCAGTTTCTGGCCCAGGAATGCCATCCTTTATAGTCTTTGGTACGAGGGGCCCTGAAGTCTGCTCTCAGGGTAGAGGGAGATTGGAGGAGGTTCAGGCTTGGTCTGACCCCAGCTCACCCCCAGGTTGGCACCCAGCTGTGTCTCATCTCAAGGTGCTCTCTGAGTTGACCAGGCACCTTGGCCTGCTTCTTACTCAAGTAGGTGAGGTACAGGGGTGGAGGGGTTAGGAGTTTTCTGGTCTGAAGAGACTTTGAAACATTCTTTGGGGGAGAAGGAAACAGAAAAATTGTTCCCTCCCAGAGGATTTTTTTTTTCCCTGCAAGGCCTGAGCACCCTATTCTAACTGGGTTATTGGTCGAGCTTACTGGAGCCACCATCTCCCAGATGTCCTTAGAAGTGGTAGTGGTGGTGGGGACTTTGAAAACTGCCTGAGTTTTTTCAGCCTGCTCCCAGTGAGCTGTGGAAGGCATGAGCTCCCAGGACTCTGCTCTCATCTTTGCTTGAGACATAGGTTTGGGGAGTTTGAGATTCTCGGCAGGAAGCCTTGCAGCTCTCCCAAGGACATGCAGGAGCTGAGTGGTGATGCCAGGCTGGTGTGAGGCAGGCTCTGGGACGTGCTGCAGGACAGCACTGATGCCTCTGATTTGATAGTTCTGGGAGCTGGTTTCCTGGCACAGGGCTTTGGTGCTGAGCGGGTCCCAGTGGCAGAGCCTTACATGGAGCTGGGCCATCAGCACCTATACCCTGATGGCAGCCAGCTTCCCAGAAAAAAAAATCAAGGACTAGGCAAGGGGAACCATATGTACTGATTCTGACATGAATACATGACCTTGAACAACTGGGGCCTTTTTCTGCAGGTCTCCTTCACTTGGGAAATCTCTATTTGTCCACAGCATTTGAGTCTTGAAACCTTGTGTCTTAATTTGTTATAAGGAGCTAAAGTGACCATGATGTGTCATTTGACTCTGTGGGACCAAGAAGAGACCTCACAAGTGCTGTCTATAAATTGCCTTCAACACCTTCACCTCCCAGCCACACTTGGCATTGTATTAGGGCACTGGGGCTGGCACACACACTGCAGGTCTCAGTGTCTGCAGTGGGGCAACAGCAAGACCATAGACTCCACTGTGGGCAGTCAAAAGTTTGTCCCTGCAGACATGATATCTCTGGTCCTAATGGGATCAGGCTTGGCCTGGCCTGCTGTGTCACCACCTGAGTGCTTTGCCCAGGACCGTGGGCTGCTGGAGAGCAGAGATGGTGCCATGGCAAGGATATCAGTCTAGAAATCAGGAAACCTGGATTCTTATCTCATCTTCCTCTGTGACCTTGAGCCAGTCACGCCTCCATACCTGTCAGTTGATCTTCTTGGCCCCTTCCAGATCTGATGTTTCTGCCACTCCACTGACTCTGGAAACCCTGGCAAGTCACTCTGCATTGGGCCTCAGTTTTTCCTGAGGCTGGATGTGATCGCCTATGCAGTTTCAAAGTCTGTGTCTCTGGCTTGGAAAGGCATTTTTCTACCTCTGAAAATAGAGAAGCCCTAGCACCTGGCCATTCTGGGGAAAGAGAACAGAGAGAAAAGTGGCCAAAAGATCTTTTTTTATTATTTATTGCTGGGGATTCATTGAGGGTACAAGAAACCAGGTTACGCTGATTGCATTTGTTAGGTAAAGTCCCTCTTACAATCGTGTCTTGCCCCCAAAAGGTGTGGCACACACCAAGACCCCACCCCCTGGCCAAAAGATCTTAAGGGTCTATGTTCAGGTAGCAAAAGTGAAAGCCCATATTTTCCCCTTCACTTTTGCAGAGTAGAATTGAAGTTTTAGTGTAGAATTCAGTGACCACTGTGCCTTTCTGAGCCTATTTCCTAATGTATTAAATGTTCCCATATATAGATATAGCAGATATAGCAGATCTTACAGGTTCAGGAAAAAAAAAAGGGATATGGTATCTAGCTGTAGAGTGCTGCTGATGTGACAGTGACATAAATTCATGCATATAGGTTGGCACATACCTGTAGTCTCAGCTACTTAGAAGGCTAGGATAGGAGGATTGCTTGAGTCCAGGAGTTGGAGGTTGCAGTGAGCTGTGATCAAACTACTGCATTCTAGCCCAGGCAACAGAGTGAGACCTGCCTCCTCCCCCTCACCTAAAAAAAAAAAAAAAGTCAATGCATATGTGTAAAGCTGATTTTGTATACACAGGAAGCGCTCAGTGTCAACTGCCTTTTACAGTCTTCCTCTGAGGCTGAGGAATACAAATCTCTCAAATTAGGCTGCCATGAGTGTCCTTCCTTAAAGTTTCAGGGTTTTGGGTGTGTCCTATTCTTTTGTTCACATGGGCTGCCTCCAGAATGGATTGTGGGGGAGGGGAGATGGCACCCAGTGTGGGGGTAGAGTATGTGCCAAGGGGTGGGTTGAGGCCATGCTTCCTCTGCACTCTCAGATACCCAAGAACCCAGGAGCTTATTTTGGGGTCTTGCCTCTTCTCTCAACACACCAGCGTGGGTAGCAGTTACATTGAAGCCCTCATTCTGTCATCTCTGGCAGCTGCTCGCCTTGCAAGGTACCCTTCTTTCAAGAATAGAAAGTGCTTTTGTGCGCTTCCTCTGATCCTAACCATGGAGCAGAGCCTCAGGTAGATACTTGCAGAGACTGGTGTGGGAGGGGCAGGGTGGGAGCTGAAGTTCTAGAGTAGATGCTTCTGAGTGCTGTCTTGCCTCTGACTCAGTGGGTGACATTAGGCAAGTCACTTCCCTTCTTTGGGCCTTTTTTCTCTCTCTGACAGTCAGGAATTTTCACTTTTTCTTTGGTGGGGAAGGGCTAGTGGTATGAGGGGGATTAGGGTATCGGGTGAAGGGTGCAAATGACCCTAATCCTTAGGGTTAAGTCTACCCCCCCCCCATTGTGGTTGGACCCTGAATGAATTCTGCTTTGTTCCTAGTTCACCTGAGTCCCAATCCAGTGCTTGTTCTGAGGAACAGCCTCCCTGTAACCCAGCTCACCGCTGGCATCCCTTCCATTTGTTTACCCATATTCTTGACCCAGAATGGCTAGCAGAGGCCTGGGAGCCCATAAAGCAGGTTAATCATCTTGTTTCCTGACAGGGAGAAAAAAGACTTCTTTTGTCCCGTTACATCCTATAGCTTTTTTTTTTCCTTTTAGTTTTTGCAAGGCGTATCCTGCCATCTCCTCCTTAGAACAAGTCTGTGAAGAGAGAAGGTGGATTCACTGTCTACTTCACATTCATGAATATCAGACCCAGGAACTAGTTTCCTATAAAAATAATGCTAGAACGCTCTTACTTCTCAAAAGAAGAGATGAATAACCAGCTTAAAGGTCACCTTGAAACTATCTCTAGGAGCCCAGGTGGAGGCCTGATGTAGTAGCTCATGCCTATAATCCTAGCAATTTGGGAGTGAGGGAGAGGATGGCTTCAGGTAGGACCTTGTGTCTCCAGGAGCACCAGGGAACTTCAAGGGCCCAGTTTGGTCAGGTAGGCGGGACTTTAATCACTTGAGCACCCATGAAGTTTGCCTTTCCTCTAGATCCCAGCTAGCTCCACCCTATCCAGCTGATAAAGGAGAGACGTCATCAGAAACCCTGGCTTCTGCCCCTAACACTGCCTCTTGAGTCCCTGTGTGTCCATGTCCCTTGGGGTCTGTGCCCCTCAGTTTTCTGAATCTGACTTGCCTCATCAGTAAGGTGAAAATACTGTCTCTGTCCTCTAAGGCCCAGGTAGAGATTGAATGTGGGAATGCCCAGCAGAGTGTCAGCTCAGGGTTCTCAGGGCCTGTTCAGATTCCTCCCCTTTTGGGAGGTCTTCCCAGCCCACAGCAATTACTTTCACTTTCTCCCCATCCCTAGTCTCTTATTATTTATCCATAATTTTGGCCTTAAGCCTAGTCTCTTCTGTGACATCTCCTCTGTTGGTGTGTGTGTGTGTTTCAGTAACAATTACCATATGAAGTATCCACAGAGTAGTGTCAGGCACTTCATAAATAAATCTCACTTAATCCCTGTTAAAATCTCATGAAATAAAGGCTATCTCTGTTTTGCAGATGAGGAAGCAGCTTAGAAAGGTTATCTTCAGTAATGTTGAATTACTGTTTATTCCCTGTTTCAGTCTTAGCATAGCCTCCCAGAGGGGTGCAGCTGCATCATCTTCTACCTCTGGCATTCCCCTCAGCAGGTGCATGCAGCCCTGCAGTGAGTCCTGCCCAGCTCACTGCACCTGCACTCAGGAATTATGGGACTCCCTCTAGGGGTTGGGCAAATGTTGATGGTGGGAGCCCTCTCCCTGCCCTGAGAAAGCCATAGGTGTTCTGTGCCTGGCTCTGTCCCCTGTCTGTGAACTGCATGGATGCACCCAAATCCTGCAGTGAGCCTGGGTCTGTCCCC